GCCAGAAATCCATAAGAACCTGATGTCTGGTTCTTTGCTGAACAAGCATGGTTTTCGTATAGTTCTTAAGTCAGACAAAGTAGTTTTGTCAAAGAAATGAATGTATGTTGGAAAAGGTTATGTGAGTATGGGTTATTTAAGCTTAACGTTTGTTTCGTAAAACCTAATAGCATTAATAAGAGAAATTCTTCTGCTTATTTGCTTGAGTCTTCTTATGCGTGGCATGGTAGACTAGGACACTTTAATTATAATACTTTGTGTAAATTAATTAACTTAAATCACATACCTATTTTCCAAATCGATTCCAAATATAAGTGTGAAACTTGTGTTGAGGCAAAATTGACAAGGTCATCATTTAATAGTATTGAAAGAATCACAAATCCTCTTGATTTAGTTCACAGTGATATTTGTGACCTAAAGTTTGTACAAACAAGGGGTGGCAATAAGTATTTTATTACTTTTGTTGATGATAGCACAAGATTATGTTATGTGTATTTGCTAAAAAGAAAGGACGAAACTATTAATAAGTTTATTCTTTATAAGAATGAAGTTGAGAATCAATTTAATAAAAAGATAAAGGTGTCACGAAGTGACGGAGATGGTGAGTATGAATCACCGTTTCGTGATTTCTGTGCACAACACGGAATTATACACGAAACTACAGCACTTTATTCACCTCAGTCAAATGGAATTGTTGGGCGAAAGAATCGTACTTTGAAAGAAATGATGAATGTAATGCTATTTTGGGTTGTCTCAAAACATGTGAGGGGAAGCTGTGTTGTCAGCTAATTATCTTTTAAATAAGATACCTCGAAAAAAGGAAGACAAAACCCCTTATGAATTATGGAAAAGAAGGAAACATTTCTATAAATACTTGCAAGTATGGGGGTCTCTTGCCAAAGTAGCAGTACCGACACCAAAGAAGGTAAAAATATGTCCAAAAACAGTTGATTACATCTTCATTGGCTATGCACATAATAGTGGTGCTTAACGATTTCTTGTGCATGAGCCCAAAATCCCAGACATACACGAGAACACGATAATGGAATCTAGAAATGCATCTTTCTTAGAACATGTATTTCCATGTACATCCAAAGAAGGATCTTGTTCATCTAAACGAACATAAGAGATGATGGTTGAAAATAGTCAAGAAGTTGAAAATGGACCTAGACATAGCAAAAGAACAAGGACAATAAAATCCTTGGGTCTAGATTTTCTAACTTATCTGTTAAAAGATGAACCTCAAACATTTGAAGAAGCTGTGAGATCTTCAGAATGACCTTTTTGGAAAGAGACTATTAAGAATGAAATTGACTCTATCCTACAAAATCATACATGGGAACTAGTGGATCTTCCTCTGGGATGTAAAACTCTAGGATCCAAATAGATTTTCAAGAGGAAAAAGAAAGTAGATGGATCAATTGACAAGTACAAGGCTAAACTTGTAATTAAGGGATACAAGCAAAAAGAAAGCCTAGATTACTTTGATACGTATTCTCTTGTGACGAAAATAAATTCCATTAGGATGATACTCGCGATTGCATCTTTGCGAAATCTAGAATTACATCAAATGGATGTATAAACAGCTTTTCTTAATGGAGATTTGGAAGAAGAAATATATATAGAACAACCCAAGGGTTTTTCTGCCTCAAGGCAAGAAAAGAAAGTTTGTAAACTGGTCAAGTCTTTATATAGATTAAAGCAAGCACCAAAACAATGGCATGTAAAATTTGATAGTGCTATGATGGCTAGTGGCTTCAAAATCAATGAATGTGACAAATACCTCTACGTCAAAGAAACGAATGATGGTTATGTCATTTTATGTCTTTACGCTGATGACATGCTCATTGTTGATAGTAATGATAAGATGATCAAATCTACCAAAGATATGGTGAATTCAAGATTTGACATGAAAGATATGGGTTTGGCTGATGTAATATTGGGAATTAAAATTTCAAGAACTTCGGAAGGACTTATTTTAAGTCAATCGCATTATGTGGATAAAATTCTTGGAAAATTTAACAAAGATGATTCTAGCTTGGCTAGAACACCTTTAGATATTAGCCAACATCTATCAAAGAATAAAGGAGAGAGTATTTCTCAATTAGAGTACTCAAGAATTATAGGACGTCTGATGTACTTAATGAGTTGTACTAGACTAGACATAACTTACATAGTTGGTAAACTAAGTAGATACATGAGTAATCCTAGAGCTGATAATTGGAAAGCAATAATGAGAATACTTAAGTATTTATGGTAAACTCATAGTTATGGGCTGCACTATACTAGATATCCAATGTGCTAGAAGGATACAGTGATGCAAACTAGGTATCTAATATAAAAGACTTAAAATCTACTAGTGGATATGTGTTCACACTGGGAGATATAGTTGTATCATGAAAATCCTCTAAACAAACTGTTATAGCCAGATCCACTATGGAATCTGAATTTATTGCTCTGGATAAGTGTGGTGAAGAGGCTGAATGGTTATGCCAATTCTTAGAGGATATTCCAAAGTGGCCAAAGCCCGTGCCAACAATCTATATTCATTGTGATAATCAATCTGCAATTGGAAGGGCACAGAGCAATATGTATAATGGTAAGTTTAGACATACACGTCGTCGACATAATACCATTAGACAACTACTCTCAACATGAATTATCTCTATTGATTATGTGAAATCAAAAGATAATTTAGCGGATCTGCTAACCAAAGGGTTAAATAGAGAGGTAGTTGAAAAATCATCGAGAGGAATGGGACTAAAGCCCATGAAATAAGTTGATATAATGGAAACCCAACCTAATTGACTGGAGATCCCAATATTTGGGTTCAAAGAGACAACTTAATTATAAAGACTTAGATAGATCATTGTAAGAGGTACTCTCAATCCGTTCCTATGATTAAATGAAACAGTATTGCCCATAAGTAATAAGGTTAAGCGAAAGCTTTTAATGATTCTTATGCGTCGGGTTTCCGAGCAGAGTAATGCGGGTTACTCTTAAAGAAATCACCTATGTGAGAAAGAAGTAGGGTCGCTTCTAAAGGGAATTGTATAGGGCTCAATTCTTAAGAACTTCTCGCAGAACTAAGGGTATGTTCATGGCCAAAACGAACATAATAATGAGAACTGAATAATGTCAGGGAGGATTCTTGTGTGAACTATGTCATCATTTACATAAATGACAAATTAGTTCAAGGACTCATGTTTATTAATCAGTCAGTAAAGTAAACATATTTTCATAAGAGAAGGTTCAAAGGGTAACACCTACCTATCGTATGCAAGTCCAACTATTTAAACTCTATCACTGCGTCTTGTGTCTAGATTTGTCAAATTTCATTCATGTGGGGGATTGTTGGAATATTTTATTAAATTGAATGAAATAAATGGAATGAAAGTGGTGGTGTAAATTGAGAATTTGAAAGCTGAAAGGTTAGTGGATTAATGGAGGAAGTTTTAAGAATTGTAAAGTGAAAAGGTGGAAAAAATGGTGGAATTCAATGTTTTGTCCCACCTTGAGTAGTATAAAAATATGTTCTTCCTCTCGTTTCAAACACACCAAAAAAAGTTGAGAACTCTTTTAATCTTTTAATTTCTTTCTAGTTTTTAAGGTTTCCTTTTTGTTGGAGTTAAGACTTTATTCAGTTTGTTAAAATAGAAGAGTTGTGCCTCTCTTGCTATGCATCTGCTGTTGTGTCCTGGAAAATAGACGTTGTTCAAATCCTTGTGCACCTGAGTGAAGAAGGCAAATCTGTTTTAAGAAAACTGTGTGTTACATAGACCTCATCATTCTTCTTAAGGTTGTATTATCTGGATCTCGTCCTATTATTCTGAAAGATTTTCTACACATGATCAAGTAGTTGGTACTGTTAATTTTATTGTATTATCTTTTTATTTTATTGATAGTTAATTCTATTGTTTTATAGTAAAAAGATTTATTAGTTGCATTACTAATATGATAGTTGATTATTTTATAACAATGTTTTTCTTATAGCAGCATTAACCCGTAGTAATAGTCAACACAGAACTCAGCCTGATAATTTCCCAGCCAAATTTTAACTCTTAATTATAGCATGCTAATTAATGAAAAAAAGAGAAATATATAAGACTTAGTGGGGTTGTCATATTCATGTACATATATGTTATCGACCGCCACAACTTCATCCCTACTACTATCACATCACAAGACGAGGGCAATTCTTTATTAAAATTAAAATATTGATGCATTGAAATGGCAAGATTCTTCCTATGATGGATTGCCATAGAGACAAGTGAGGTGTATAGTGAAGTCCTTTTGGCTCAAGCTGGGGAGACATTGTTTTTTGTCGTTTTGTTCAGACTGAGAGATCGATGCTATCTCCGGTTCCTTGCTTTCATCCAGCTATATCTCACAGTACAGCTACAGTTGAAACTAATATCTTGATCTCTCATAGAAGAAAGAACAAACATATAAAATCTTGGTGATATATGGCTGTCTCAACTATGCCCAGCAAAAATCTTACAGTAGTCAGCAAGCCAACTCATATTCATACATTATCATTATTATGAATCTATTTCAAGGAGCAAGTACTAATTCTGCTGAATTTCGGATACAGTTATGGCGTAGAATGTTGGACCTTGAAAACGAAAGCAATTCACGAGCCAACCTTCTAATTTTTTCATCACTAAAGCAGCTGCTTCGTTTTCACTTCTTTCATTATCCCCTTCCTGACTGCACCAAAGAGTTGAGTACACCTGACACCGGAGACGTGTGCCTTAAAGAAGAGATTCTCTAAGCCCATGAACAGAAGGCCAGGCCCATTCAATATTAAAAAAGGTGGGCCTTCATAAAAAAACAAATCTTACATTATTCTCATCCCTGTCGTGAAGCTCAATGCAATTGCTCAAGAAGACTGGTAGGTAGGCGATTTCTTTTTGTTTTTTATTTTTATTTTAATTAGATGAAAAATAAAAAAGGTTGGGGTGAAATTTATTTTTGGACACTCTCTCTTTTTGTGCAGAGGCCAGAGACTGACCAAAAGGACAAAACCGAAGCAGTTGGTGATGACACGTCTCGCACGTGGCTCCATCTCGACACGCTTGTTCTAAATTCGTTTGTTAAACGTGCACCGTCGTTTACCACTGACTTGCCCAGGAATTCAATTTTACAGTTTCATCTACCTTCCGATCCGATCACACAAAACTTTTAATCAAATGCTCAATTTTCGTTGACAAGAATAAAGTTGAAAGGCTAAAGTGACGGTGACGTTGACGATGCAGAGTCGGAGTCCACCGAAGCACAGACACGATGGGACTTCGCCGCTGCCTTTGGGGATGGATTGGAGCCCTCCGCCTCGAAAATGGGTGCGTTTTACCCGATTCTTTCTATTTCTGTAATTCCTTGTTAACCTTACTATCTTAGTTATACTTTTGACCTTGCTTCCTGTAAATTTACAATGTAAAGTTTGATCGAAATTCTGTTTCAGTATAAATATAATTGGTCAATAATTTAATGGTTTCAAGCAATTCTCTATGATTGTTCAACTATTGTCGGCTAGTGTTTGATTGGCCAAACGTGATTAGCATTGTATTGGCAAATTGTTGTATCATATTCATTAATGTTCAATTGAGCAAGGATGTTTGATTGGGCGAGACCTGATTAGCATTGCAGTGGAAAATTGTATTTTGTAAATTCTAATATGTAAGTTCAGTTTTCATACCTATATCGTGGCTACTGTAGGATATGTACTGGCTTAATTTTTTTCTAATGAAGCTTCTACCGGTCTCAGACTGATTTGATAGTTTTTATTGTTATGCTTTTTTTTCCTTAATAGTGTGGAAGTGTATAACATAGCAAACTTAGAGGTTGAAAATGCAGATAGAGGTCATTCTTGAAAAACATTGACGGGGTGTTGGTAGAAATGCGACTTACTGTACTTGGAAAGAAATACATATAGCACCTTTTTCCATTTATGGGCATTTTGGCCAATGTCATTTTGCTTAAATATGCTGATTGGTTTTTCCTTGTTTAGAAACTGTTTGCCGTCTAAAGAGTTTTAATCCTGAATTCTAATTTTTATTTTTACAGCACGGGCGAGACACTGTTTGGCCGCATGATCATCGCACAGGATGGAGTTACTGTGTCACAATACCTTCGTGGGTTGTCTTACCAAAATCAAGAGATTCAGATCCTGTAGTGGTACTCAAATTGAATGACCCTCCAGTATTTGTCTATACCGAGGGTTAGATGTTGTATTTATTCTATCTTTTGGGGTTTAACAATACTAATTTATTTTCAAATGGTTGAATTTTTGTTTTCTTATTGGTTATATTTTCTAGTTGTACAAGAACAAAAATTTTCTTTAGCAATAGGCAATGCCTTTAGCTTTTGTTGTTTGAAAATTTTCTAACCTTTTCTAAACATTAAATGTACTTGGTAGAGTTAATATAAACGTAATAGGCGATTTTTCAATTATTTGGATGCTCACAATTCTTTTACAATTGTAATCTGGCTTTATACATGTTTTATGTTAACATTCTTAAACGGCAGTTTTACAGGGTTCAGGTTGGTTTACAATCGCCAGAAGGGATTACGACCACACGAGGAGTCTTGAGAAGATTTAATCATTTTCTGAAGTTGTTTAATGATGTAAGTCTATATATATTTTTTTTCCCACATCTGAACTTCCGTTTCTCTCATATCCACAGGAAATTAACATGCACTTTGGTAACTTCATTGATCTAGCATCTTTATGGAAATAGAGTGCTTGCACTCCTTATGTTTTTTGAACATTTAATGCATTTCTTTTAATGCAATATTTTTTATTGTTATTTGTTTTCTGGCAGCTTAGAAAGGCATTTCCTAAGAAAAATCTTCCCCCGGCTCCACCTAAGGGACTGCTGCGTATGAAAAGCAGGGCACTTTTGGAAGAGGTAGCTAATGTGTTTTAGTCTCATCCTTTGTTTGCATTAGTTATATTGCTATGATTCATGGGAAACTTGTAGGAAAAGTAGCTGTATCATCTGTGTCTAACACTCCAATCTACAGTTAAGAAAATATCCATTTAACCTGTAAAAAAACATAGAATTATGAGTGTGCTGTGATTCATCCAGGACTTGAATAATTGAAGCTCTTTCTTTTTTTTTATACTGTGACTAATATTCTTAAAAGGCTTAGTTTTGTTGCAGAGAAGGTGCTCTTTGGAGGAGTGGATGACAAAGCTGCTGTCAGACATTGATTTATCACGAAGTGTTTCAGTGGCATCCTTTCTTGAACTAGAAGCTGCTGCGAGGTCTTGTACGTGCCATTTTACTGCATTACGTGTAATTTGAAGCAATTATCTTGTATTCTACATTTCTCTCTCTCATGAACGTAAAATATATAATTGATTCACTGTAATGATTTTTAGTATACCATATTCTTCTTCATCGAAATAATACAAGTTGTTATAATTATCTTGGAATTTCACCTTTTGCATTATTTTTTCAGCATTTCAAGATGTAAACCGCAACTCATCAGAAGCAAATACTTCTGGTAATAGCACTGTTCCTTCGCTTAAAATGCCTACCCATTCAAGCTCAGCTCTTACTGCTAGTTCCTCAGTCACTTCAGATTATGGTAGTGATACTGCTTATGAGACATCTGAGGTTGGAACTCCAAGGCTAGGAAGGGATGATGGTTCAGAAAATGGGATTGAGGATCTAACTTTGGATGAAGATTTGACAAGTCCCATAGAAAAGCTAGTGAAGTATGGTATGTCCAATATTGATGAGGGATTGTTCATGGGGCAGACTATTCTAGAGCAGCTTGAAGGTTTTCCTAGGCATAAAACACATGCCCGACAACCTTTCAATAATGTTTTAGGGAAGGATACACATAATGGGAATGCTTCTAAAGCTTCATTTCTTGCTGGTGATGGAATGGACCTTTTCTCCGAATCAGAGCCTGCTAAGGTAATAGGTCACACACGAAAGCTATCAGCTGAAAGTGTTAGAAGTGACACAAGTTCTTTAAGAGGTAGTGAAATGTCAAACTCTGGTGTTCCAAATTCATCTATTGATGGCTCTGCTGACCTTCATGGATGTGCTGAGATTTCAAGTACCATGGAACTTGGCAACACAAATCTGCAGTTTTCAGGTGATGGACAAGTAGTTATTCCAACGGATCAACGCCATAAATTGAGTAGGACTCTTTTGACAATGGAGCGAAGACTAGTAACTGCTAAAACTGACATGGAGGATCTTATAGTCAGATTAAATCAAGAAATAGCTGTAAAAGAATACCTTATGACAAAGGTATCAAAGCTATATTCCTTTCTGGATCTTAAACTCTGGTTGTGTTGCTTGACTGTGATCTGTAAGTAGACGTACGTTATATCTGGTTTCTGGCTGGGTAATATACAATCCAGATCACAATGTAGCTAAGCAAATGTATCAATATGTTTATATTTCAGTATCCTTTTTCCTTTTTTAATTTTTTTTTTTTTGCACTTTCAAATGTCGAAGTCAGCCTTTTGGGACCTATGCAAATGCAAGAATTGTCCAACACACAAACTCTACCACTCAAAGACTTGCATAATTGCTGGTATTTTGAGCTATGTGGTTGCATAACTGCATTAACGTCTTAGTTGTGTACTCTTTTTATCTCCTTTTAGAGACATGTTAAATGTGAGACCTGGGAAAAATAATTCTTCTGCAATTTTGTTATTTGTTTGCTCATTCCATTACAAAGGTTAAATATTGATTTATCTACAAATATATGAATTATTTGGCATAGATAAACTATTTTAAGTATTAATTGAATTTTCTTTTATGCGTGAAAAAAATTACTTCTGCACTAAAATAAGTCCGAAATTTGAGAAAGTTCAATTTTTACAACACCTTACTGACTGGCCATACAATCATTATATATATATATATATAATGGTGTTGTTATAACCTTTTGCATCTGTGCAGGTTAAGGATTTGGAAGTGGAACTTGAAACTTCTAAACAGAAAAGCAAAGAAAACCTGCACCAAGCTATTTTAAATGAGAGGGAAAGGTTTACACAAATGCAATGGGACATGGAGGAGCTGCGGCGTAAAGCTTTGGAAATGGAGTGGAAGTTGAAGTCAAGACAGGTTAAATATTTATTGATTGTTTGCATTCTCTGAAAAAATGAAAAACTGCCTTTTTCAATTTCTTGTGGAAAATTTAGGTAGAGAAGATGTTTACCAGTGAAGCGTGAGGAAAAGAGGGAAATGAGAAAGGCAGCCTGAGAATCTGTCTTATACCTCTTAATTCCCATTTAATTCCACCAAAAAAAAAAAAAAAAAATGTAACTTATAATCAATTGTTTTGTGGTTCCATTTACAGAGGGAACTCATATGCATGAAAATTTGATATGTTTTTCTATGGCTGAAAAGGAACACATAATGATAAAGCTAATCCATTGTGGCCTTTAAATTGAAATAAATGAGTTAAAAGTCTTTTTGTCAATTATGATTCCAATAATGATGTGGGAAACCATTACAGGATGAAAAATCAGATACAGAGACAACAAAAGAATCCACAAGCCAGGAGAAAGATGCAGTGTCACAGGAGTTGGATGCTACTAAACAACAACTTGAGATTTTGTCAAAGCAATATGAAGAGCTGGAAGTAAAGTCAAAAGCAGATATTAAAGTTCTTGTTAAAGAGGTTAAATCTCTCAGAAGTTCACATAAAGGACTGAAACAAGAGCTGAGTCGAGCACTGAATGAAAAATCTGAGACCGAGGTATTTGTTACTCTTCTAAATAATTTGTTATATGTGAAGTTCCTTTCTAGAAGAATTATTATTCTTACAATGTGGACTTATATCGTTTAAGATTCTAGATATGTTAAATTAGTCAAAGCCTAAGGCAGTTTATCTAGTATGTTACTACTTAAATTATTGTTGTGGAGCTTTACAGATTCTTTATTCAAGTCAGATAGATTTTTGTTTTACTCCAGTTTTATGAACCTTCTTGCTCTAAATTATGTAGTTTGTTATTATTTCTCTAATGTGACAGAGAATGAGAATAAATCTTTAATTGTGTTTCATAACTATTAAGTTTCTATAACATTTTAGTAATCCTTTCAATCTGTTTCAAGATTTTACTTCTAATTTGAATCTAAACGGTGGAAGAAATATTATGCGATCCTGAACATGGTAAATTTCTGTAGGAACTCCTTCAGCAGGAAAGAGAAACAAGTGACAGAGTAAAAACTGCTAGAAAAAAGCTGCTACATAAATGCAGGATTCTTCATAGCCGGTTTCAGGAATGCAATACTAATCTACTTACTGAAAATCAAGATAATTTTATCTTAGAATCTCCTTCACTAGCGGATGCTTTAGAGTTGTTGACTACATCTGATGACCAAATTGCCCTCCTACATGCAGAGGTAACTTTTATATTATACCAACGGTTTCTTGTTTATAATTATTGAACGCCTATCTGGATTTTACGGTCTTGATGCAGTTTGTTCAAGTGCTGGGTTTATTCGTATTTTTTCTATATTTGAAGAGCTGAAAATGGCAAATGTTAATATCTGTAGCTAGGCTCAAGAATTTTATGAATAATAGGTTTTATTTCTGCCAACATCTTAGTTTAAGATGACTGTCAAAAGGCCAAGTTGCACTCTGGTGAATTGGGTTGTAGATTTAGAGTTACAAAGGATTTGTTGTCTTGTGAGATAAAAACTGAGAAGACAAAAATATGAAAGTGAAGGATATTTCTCTTTTAACTGGTTTTCGTTATTCTTGTATTCTTTTATTTTTCTTCATGACTAAGAACAATTTCTTCAAAAAATTGATCAGGCACAACAATTAGTAGAGGATGATGAAGCTGCTTCTCATGACGGCAATGATGATACGGTAACAGACGAGGAGTTGAGGAAAATGATAACAGATATCTTCATTGACAATGCTAAGCTGAGAAAACAGGTGAACTCTGTGATTCGTTGTGCCCTCGTGTCGAGAAACAATGATGAGGCTGCCTCAGAAAACAATTCACTCAACAAATCACCAGAAAGATGAAATGAGGATGAATATTGTATTTTTTTTTTTTTTTTTTTTAGAGTATAATGATGCAGTCCTTCACTTCTAGAAACACATGGGAAACAATCATTTGCTGTTTCAAATGGTTGATGAGGTCACGAAAACCAATAGTTTTGTGTTGGAATTTTGTGATCCCACATATATAAAGTCTTTAGAAAAAAAGTGCCTCTTACACTATTTGTTGTATTCCTGTCCTGTGATGAGACTTGAATAATTAGTATGAACATGAAAAGAAAATTATTAATGAAGTAGTACACACATTTCTTTCGAATTTACTGTGTTCATGTAACTTGCCTTGGTGTTATAAGTTGTTAAAAGGTATGACCATTTTGCCTGATTGTTTATTAAAAGTAGCGATAGAATGGTTAAGTGGAAAAGTACTCTCAGCCTGCCGACAAAACATCCAAGAAAAGAAACGAAAGAAGTCTGAACGTGAAGAATTAATGGGAATTTGACCTTATCGACATCTTTTTAGAAAACCGCAGCCATTTGCTTTAGGAATATTTGATGAGCAAACAAATCTTCCTACTTGACTTATTCTAGACGTCGGTAATCGCCGAAATTAATATTCATGCATACGAAGTGTAGATATTGAATCCCAGATATCTAACAGAGAGACAAGACAAAGGATGATAATTTCTTGAAATATTGCAAATTTTTTTTTCTAATGCTTGCTTCGTTTGAAACTGTTGACGGCATATAGCAGCCTAAAAGAAGATACATATCACAAGAAAAAAAGAATCATACAAATGAGGCTTGCTATGTTTAAACATAGTGACTCAAAACTTGGTAAGAGGTAACCAATTGCTCGAGCATCATTTCTTTTGCTCCAAGTCAGCCCAAGCATCCTCTCAATCACATAGAATCTGCAAAATCCCCATTCACATTCACATCTGATGATCAGTAATTCAGCGGTAACTTAAATCGGAACACCAGTAAATAATGTTTTTTTTAAACCAAAAAACAAAATATGCAGGGAAAATGCTGGCTTTATATTTAACTTTTTCTTTTTTTTTTTTGGCCCCAGGAATCCATCAATTTCAAAATCATCAAAAGTTCTCTGGCTGGTTACAACCATGAAAAGATGTATGCATGCATTCCTCCAATATCTCAACAATGTACAAAAACAGAAGAATATCAAAGGTCAATTGAGGTGGGCCAAGATTTCCAAACAAAAAAGCATTGATGCAATATGCTTCTCTGTAAAGATGAAATATATTCTGTGAACTTTATATGCCTCCAATTGCAAAATCAAAACACATTTATCTTCTCTACACCTTTTAAATCCAAAAAATAAAGTTTAACTCAAAAAGACCAATAATGTATTTTCTCTGCATTTCTAAGAGTAATCATAAGTTAAATTCATTCCAAAAGATAGCCCGTACCATAACAATAATTATCTAATTCGCGAGGCTCCACAAGAATGTAAAGAGGCGTTCCATTAAGTCTGCATTGCCCCTGAGAGATAAACCAATATCAGAATGCAAATCATATGATTATCAACTCTACAAACTTTGGTGCGAAAAACATATACAAAATGTATTACCCAGCAATACTTCATGAATACCTAATATAAGACAAAATACTGAACTCTCAAAAAAATGGAAAGTTGCATTCCACTGATATAACATGTGAAACATTTACTTGAACAGAAATCAGATTTTTGTGGTGTTCCTAGCTTGAATATGGAAAGCCTCAAATGAAAAAGAACAAAAACAATTGTAAAGATCAGTCGAAGTAAGTTCCAATCAAGTTACCCACAAAATATATTCTGCAGCATCAAAATAATCATTTCCTCATATTTATATCAAATTCTCATCAAGGCAGAAACATCAAAAGAAACATAAAAGTGTTAATAATGAAAATAAACAAAGATGGTTTAAGCCTTACCTTGGCCTCAGGCAACCCAATAACACAAGCACATTCTACAACTTCAGCCCCCATGCGTTCTTAAAGCACAAAAAAATTCATGCCTAAATAAAGTAGATTTAAGAGTAGACAAAATAATAGTAGTAAACAGAAAACAAAGAAGATAGATAGACCAAAGGTTCCAAACTTACCCAAAAGTCTTACTGCTGCTCTGAGGGTGCCCCCAGTAGCTACCAAATCATCAATTATCAAAGCCCGTTCACCAGGCTGAACGGCACCAACATGCATCTCCAAACAGTCAGTTCCATACTCCAGCACATAGGCTTCAGAAATTACTTCACCTATGCATTCAACATTCCAAGTAAGTTCTTAGATTGGAAAGCACGGAGACTATAAGAACAGAAAGGCTTTCAAAAAGGCCATTCGTATTACAAATTAAAACAACATACCCGGCAGCTTTTTGGGTTTTCGCAAAGGAACAAACTTGGCACCAATGGCTAAAGCAATTGATGGACCAAACATGAATCCTCGAGCTTCCACACCTGCGCATAAAATTTCAAATATAAATAAGAATGCAAACAAACCCAAGAAAACCAATCCACAGACTATTGATTGTGGATCCACAACACAATCACATTGCGTTGTTGGCATCAGTACTTCTTATGAAACCATGAAATCAAATACAGACATGCATGTGCATGTTCATTTCTTTAAATGTCAACAAGCTAAACTCCTACTTGAGTCTGATCAAATCCTCAATGAACTTTTGTAACATATTATGCCAAGTGAACAAAAATGCTATTAGCCATGTATCTTTTGACTGTGGTTAAGACTGACATTCAGTTTTCCGACTAGCTAGTTTCTGTGCAGAAAAAGAACTGCATTCAAATTTTTGGAAAATGCCCAGCCCAATTACTCTCATTCTATAACCGACCAAAACGTTGCAATCCATGAAAGAACCTGCCATAAGTTAACTGAAACAGCAAAACTGTTCTGCTAATGACAAATATTTCACAGAGAAAGTCAGAAAGTGACTCAAAAAATGAAAGCGCAAAAAAGTTGAATAAAACAAGCAATTCTCTCTATATTTTATTTTCCTCTTCTTTTTGATATTTTGGAATTCCTCAATTTTTGCTTCCTTTATGAAAACTACAAATCAAAAAACAAAGTTTCATAAAGATAAATTTTGTATAAAAGCTTTTCAAATAGACCAAAAAGAAAGAGACTTGGTGATGTGAAGGAAATATATATAATGAATAAAATAAAATAAAGTGCAGAAACAAATGGATAATATAGTACCAGCAACAACAGAAATGTCCATGTCTCTGTAGCGATCGACAAATATGTCCACCGTGTCCTTGAACGCCTTATGATTCAACAACAACGTTGTTATATCTTGAAACATTATCCCTACAAAGAAGAAAAAACATCACCCTTTTGACCAATGATAAAACTATNAAACAAAGTTTCATAAAGATAAATTTTGTATAAAAGCTTTTCAAATAGACCAAAAAGAAAGAGACTTGGTGATGTGAAGGAAATATATATAATGAATAAAATAAAATAAAAGTGTAGAAACAAATGGATAATATAGTACCAGCAACAACAGAAATGACCATGTCTCTGTAGCGATCGACAAATATGTCCACCGTGTCCTTGAACGCCTTATGATTCAACAACAACGTTGTTATATCTTGAAACATTATCCCTACAAAGAAGAAAAAACATCACCCTTTTGACCAATGATAAAACAATTAAAAAAACAAAACACAAAACAGAAACACAAAAAGTAACCTGGTTTAGGAAAGTGAGGCACCACCCGAATTGCTTCAGAAATGCCTCGCAGCCTTGGGTCTCCTTTGAGTCCATTCTCAGCTGCAAACATTTTGTTTCTCTCCAGAATGAGTGTGGGCTACGAACAACAACAAAATGGTTCTAGTTGTTTATGGAAGTAGATTGATGGGTGGTGTTTAAATGGGTTTGGATTTTTACCATGTTACGAGTTTTCCCTCCCAAACGGAGCTAAAAGATCAAGTCTCTCTGTTTTCTATGCGAGAGAGAAGGTCTGGTGAGTGTATTTAATACCAATATTTTGTCTATTTATGTTGGCCCAACCAAAGCACTACTGCTTCCTCTGACTGTCTTCAACTTTCACGCTCTTCTTTACCACGTCTTTCGCACGCCTCTTCCTGTCTTCTTAACGCTTTTATCTTAAAGTTTGACCGTCAACGTACTTTGAGTTAATTAAAGTCTTATCATAAAGTATGATTTACTAACATTTTTAAAGCGAGGAAGGTGTAGTGAACGCGAAGAGAATGAGATTGGGATAAACAGAAAGATTACACTGTTCAGTGTATCTAGCTTGTGAAACCTACGTCTTCCCAATCTAAAAAGGAAGATTCTATATTACAGAAGCTATTAGTATTAAAAGCAACAGTATTCGTTAAATTAATCCCCCAATCTCATCCAACGGCTGTCATTAAATAGCTGGTGTCTATTTTTAGTACTGAGCTGGCCTTAAATGCAATAATAAATTAGTTATTACTGTTGCTTTACCCCTCGGTTCAGGCTTTTTGTAAAGACCGAGGAAAGGGGTGATTTTGGTTATTTACAAGAAATTGACGGCTACTAATTGGCAGAGAATCATGTAGCAGAAGATTTTTAGATTTTCTAGGTGGTCCCTCCAGGCCGTGGTCCATCACTCTACACCTAGGTGACGTGGCGTATTTAACCAATCTGATCAAATTAAAGCTGGCATTGATGATGGATGGATTTTAAAAACGCTTTGATGTAGGGTCTCTAGAGAAACAAATCGCCCCCATCAACTGTTCTAGATTTCTGCCACGTGCACAGATTCGATCTGTGAAATTGTCTTTTACAGTCTAGACCATATATTGTTTCTTTATTGTTGTGGACCCCTTGATAGATACGGTGACGTCATCATATAATATTAATCCAAATTAAAGGCTTATCTCCCTCTCCAACTAACCGCGTTTAGTCCATTTCTTTTTTACGGACACTCCAAGTAACAGAAACGTGTAGGGAACGCGTTTAGTTAGCAAGTGTTGCTGGATGTTTGAATCCCGGTCCCACAAAAAATAAAATGGACGTACCAGATCACTGTTCATGGGCACGCGTGTGGTACTCTGATAAACATAATAACATGATCATTAAGACTGAGATACAACACCTCTCACATCTCTTAGATTACCATATCCCATGTTTCCCATATCTTTTAAGGTTTGTACGGTATGATGAACGGCCAAGATCAATAGCCGTACTATAATTTTAGATCAAGACCGTGAAAATTGATGTTCACCAAAAGATCAAGCGTGATCTTCGCCTTTTCAACTCTGCACGCCAAGTCGAAGCCTTGGCTGAGAGTAGTGATCATATGTGGTCGACCCCGTCACGCGTGCTGTAGGGACCCACGACTCCAAGAGCTTGATTTTATTATTTGACACTTTCTAAAAGACGATTATGTAACATTTGATTTAAAATCACTTATTGAATTTTCTTGATGTTGATATATTTTTTCTTTTAACTTATATGTTTAATATACGTACTTTGATTAATATTCAAAGAATTATCTCTGGAATAAATGATAGACAAAGATATTGATGTTGATTTCAAATGATAATGAGTAAAATAATTGATAGAGATTTGAAGGGGCATGAGATATGATGAAGGTTATATGTAGAGTGGGCACATCTGAGTCGTACCTAATCTCAACTAAATCCTCATCTAAACTTTACTGGTTGTAATCATCAGACAGCTACTTTAGCTTTGATTTTCAGACTAAATATTATTTAAATTTTAATGGATAAATAAAATAATAGAATAGATTTGTTAATGATTAAGCTAATTGTCGTAAAGTGGGGAGATTTGGGCCCTATTTAATTGGGTTTCATAGTACAAGACTGAGCGATATGTTGTTAAAGGGTCTTTATTTTATTTGATTAACACCATTTAAATGGTGGTGGTGGTGGTGGGGTCACTATTATCAGATTCTAATCCCTTCTGAATCATTGTCAAATCCCTTTTGCAGATAAACTTCCGGATATCCTTTAGATTCCATTGTCGAAGTATTTCTTTCGGGCCAGCAATTTTGAGCAGTCAAATCCAACCCAAGGCCCGCCTTGTAGCAGACTGATAACAAGAGGCGCAACCAGGTTTTCCACATGCAAACCAAGAGTCCAAAGATATTAAAACACTTGTATATAATTTTTAATGAAGGAAAAAATCAATTGGAACTTGTCGTTTAGGTCACATAATTTCCAAAGATGTTCATGCTTACAATACAAGTGTTTTGGACTTGGTTTTGTGTAGAATGCAATGGATGAAAGCTTACAATCAAGCTGCATATTCATAGCTCAGTTTCAGTCAAATTCATTCATGAACTGAAAGAAAGACCATCCTCTCAAAAGCAAATTATTTCAATACTGATAATCAACAACAAAATGCTGGGTCAGTGGGTTATAGGCAGGCAGACAGACAGACAGACAGAGCTATGCAAAACCACTTGTGGATTTTAATAGGCCACTATAAATTCCCCTTTTTATCCACAGACATTGCATATGAATGTATTATTTGCGATTGTCTCAATAGTCAACTCACGCCAACAACTGCGAAATCTACACCACCAAAAGAAAATCTATACCATTACACTTTTAGGTTGGATGATAAGATTTTACCCATTTGAGTGGGTTACTGCACAAAGTCCAGTGGGTTATTGCACAAAGTCCCTTGCTACATTTCAGTCCTATAAAATACTCATTTACCATATTTATAATTAACTTCGTCTATTACGTTTATAATGTATTGAATGAATTCTTATAATTAGTTGAGGGATGTACAGACTAATCTAAATATCCCGATTATAAAAAAAAAAAGGGAGAATGACACTTTTCCACCCAAGGTTTGGTGAAACGACCCTTTCCTACCCGATAAGTTTCAAAATGACACTTTCCCACCATTCGTCAAATTTTGTTAGTATTTTCTGTTAATATTTGACTGAAAAGATGAAAATACCTTAGATAGTTTATTTCTTAATTAGTTTATTATAAATTAAAATTTAGTTAAGTCAAAAGTTTTACTCAATTATTTATTAGTTCAAGTGTAAAGAAATATTTTTTTTTTCTTTTGTTTATTTAATTAATTAGGAATATTGATTTTCTATGTTAATTAGTAAAAGTGAAAAATATTATAAAATTATTAGATTATTGAATAATAGTAATGGGATATTGATGACATTATAAACAAATAAATAAATATTAATGTCATTTAACTTTAAACAATTGCATAACATTACTCTTAACTTTTTAGGTGAGAATTAATTATTTTTTTTTTGACTTTTTAATATTCGACTTTTTGACTAAATAAAAAATTTATAAAATCACATATTTAAGGGTATTTTCATATTTTCAGTAAAATATTAATAGAAAACATAACAGAACCTAACGAATAGTGAAAAACTGTCATTTTGAAACTTGAAGAGTGGAAAAGTGTCGTTTCGCCACACCTTGGGTGGGAAAATGTCATTCTCCCTAAAAAAAAAATAATAATAATAATTCTACCAACCATAATGTTGCTGAAATCGACCCCTAAATTTGGTATGAGTAAATCATAAATTTGTTTGGCATATAAATGAATAGTATTTCTCAAGCTAAATAAGTGATTAAATTGTTTTTTATTATTATTATTAAAAGTAATCACACGATCAGTATTAGGGTCACGTGAATTATATACACTGGTATTGACTGATTTCTACACTTAAGATGTTTTGTACTAGAGAAGCCGAAGTCTAATTTGCTCATGGTCGAAGGCGTTCCACGTGTCAGTACAAGGTGCTTCCAAGTTCCATCACATTCAATCCAGAGTCCCTGGATGGCTGGATTCGTTATTCATACTCGGTCGAAGCAATCTAAATATTCTGTTTCTGTTCATAGACTTCATACCACCGTCGGTCTAACAATTATTTTCCTAAACTCAAACGACTTAAATCCAGATGGTGTAATATTATTGGTTACAGCTTTTATTACAATGATCTTAAGAGTTCCAGATTTTTTGGGATTCCGAAATTTAAATACACGTCAGATATATCCATAATTACAAAAATCGAATCGCCGATATATTAGAAATACGCGGCTTGCATATAGCTTCCCTCCATTATTGTGTTTTGAGAGGTGATAATTAAGGGAATGAATCAGGGATTGATGATTAATGTAAGCTGGAATGAGATCAAGAAGTGAAGCATGCCGTTTTCAGCCGTTCTTTCTCCCAATCATCGACCTACTTGTCTTCCGCTTTACTCCAGGGTATGTAATTGCTATTATTTATCTTTTTTCTTTCAAATTTGAAATCATAAACTAGGGTTTCGATAAAAATGATGAATGAATTTGAGATAGGGATGAGTCAACAATCTGTTGAAATTGGGAACCTTAATGTCAATGTCTTAGGTTTTATCATGAGTAGGGAGAAATATATTTAATGGATGTGAATTTGTTACAAACGAAAGAAAATGAAAAGGAAGTTGACAAGTAAGAGTTAGGAGTTTCTTTTGTTGAAGAAAAGGTTGATAATAGTTCGTTTATAGTTGAGAATATGTTTGGTGCAGCTTTGCTTGGTGACGGTGTACCGGAAACAGAAAATACCAGGATTTGTTGTAACAAGCAGGAAAAGAAGAGGCCAGTCTCTGGGGATCACCACTTCGCCGCATTGTGGGCAGTCAAGTGTAAATGATAATGGAGCAACTGAACCTGCGATGATTCTTCTTGAGAGGTTGTTTGAGCAGACACAGAAGTTGGAAGAACAGATGGGGAGAGATTCTTGCCTACCTCAGGATGTTCGTCTGGGGTTTAACCTTGATATTTTGGAATCTACTCTTCAGGGAGCTTTGGCTGCCTTGAAGAAGAAGGAAGAAGATCTAGAAGAAGTGGAAAGAAGGGTTTTGTTGGAGCACAATGAGTTAAACCATGCAAAGGAGGAGTTGCAGCAAAGGGAGCAGGAAATTTCTGTTGCTTGCTCTAGGCATGAGAAGATAGAAGAGGAGCTAAGCCAGTCGAATCTCAAGTTGATTTCTCAAGCTCGGAATATAGAAGACTTAAAACTGCGGCTTAAAGAAAGAGATCAAGAGATTGCTTCTGTCCAGTCTGCACTCTATTCAAAGGAAGATGAACTAGAAAAAATGAGAAATGAATTGGATAGGAAGAGTGAGGAAGTTGCCAAGATAGATTCTGAACTTAAATCTAAGGCTCGGCTGCTGGATGAAGCCAATGAAGTTGTTAAGAAACAAGAAATTGAGCTTCAAAATCTCCGTAAAGCCATTCAAGATAAAGAAGAAGAGCTAGAAGTTTCTCTGACTACTAAGAAACTTGAAAAGGAGAAGCTTAAAGTTGCAGAGGCCAACTTGGAAAAGCGGACCAGCGAATGGTTAATAGCACAAGAAGAACTGAAGAAACTGGCAGAAGAGGCATCTAGACGCATGAGAGAAACTAATGAAACCATGGAAGACTTTGTAAGAGTGAAGAAGCTTCTCACCGATGTAAGGTCCCAGCTGGTTTTTTCTCAGAAGTCTTTGGCATCATCTAGACAGCTAATGGCAGAACAGGAGCAGTTGTTAGAGAAGCAACTAGCAGAACTTGAAGAACAGAAGAAAAGTGTGACTTCATACATGACTAGTTTGAAAGATGCACAAATAGAAGTTGAGACGGAAGGAATGAAGCTTAGGGTTGCAGATGCTCGAAACAAGGAGCTTGAACGTGACTTATCCACAGAGCAAGAGCTAGTTAAACAGTTACAGGATGAGTTAAAGAAAGAAAAATCTTCTTTGCAACAATCAATCCAGGAGTTGTCCTCACTTCAAGAGGAGCTAGAGCAGAAGAATTCTGAATTTGAAGAAACACAGAAACTTCTTAAAGTTAAAGAGTCAGATTTGGTGGAGGCTAAGCTAGAAATCCAGCATTTAAAATCCAAGCAGGCTTCTCTTCAGCTTATCTTGGAGGAGAAAGATTTGGAGCTCTCAAATTCGAGGCAAAAGTTGGAGGAAGTGAATGCAGAGGTTGCAGAGCTTAAGGTGATCATGAGCAGTAGAGAAGAACAGCTTATTCAAGCAACCACTATGCTAAATGAAAAAGAGGAACATGTTCAGATATTACAAGACGAGTTGGATGATACAAAGCTGAAAGTCTCTGAAGCTGAAACCATGATTGGAAGAATTGTTGATCTTTCAAACAAATTGGTTATCTCCATCAAGGATGAAGGGTATAATACATCAAGACCAATTGAATACATGGACCCCACGTCAATGCAGCAAGTTTTGGAAAAACCAAATGATAATTTCAGGTTGCAGAATAAACAACTAGAAACTGAGCTGGAGTTAGCAAGAGAAACCTTAAGAACAAAAGAGATAGAGGTTCTAGCTGCAAAGAGAGCCCTCACAATCAAAGATGAGGAGCTCAACAGTGTTCATAATAGATTAGATGCTCGGGAGAAAGAACTAAAGATGTTGAAGGAAGAAATGCTTGAAGATGCTAGCGATTTGAAGAAGCTTTATGCTTTAACACAAGAGAGAATTGGGGAGAAAAGTGTAGGAGATTTGGCCATTGAAAAACTTCAACTGGAGGCAGCTCAACTGGAAGTTGAAGCTGCAATGAGTGCTCTGCAAAAACTTGCTGAAATGAGTCGAGACCTATTGAATAAAACTAGCTTGAGTATTGAAACTGATACTAATAACACTGTCTTGCCGGAGAGCAGCTTTTATCCTGGGATTGAAAACAATGAATGCATCACTGAAGTTCAAGCAGAAGTTGCCCGGCTTTCAGCTTTGACCGAGCAGCTAGTGAAAGATGCTGGGGTTGCGGTTGATCAGACTACCAGTAGATTTTGTAATATAGCTTACTGACTGTTTTGTTTATTAAATCTGCCGAATGTTTATGGGGTATTTTGTACCATTGTTGTAGCACCAACCATATTGATTATTGTCTGTCAAATGTCAAAGATGTCCTTTGTTTTATGGTCGAGTGATATCAAAAGTGTTTCTACTAAATGATAATGATAATTATGATTTCAAGAGTGTGTTTCATCTAAGTAATGGTATCAAGCGTGTGTTCTCCCACTATGCGAAACTGAATGATGCTTGCGGGCACCAAATAATCTATCCCGAATTGCCTAATCCCTGAATTTTTATATTTTATGTTGTTTGGTCTTAGACCTGGGGTTGAGATAAACTCAATAGGGTAATTTGGGAGTTTAGCTGGAGTGAGGGAACCTGTGGAAATTCTGAAAGTAATTATTCTATACTTTCGGTTAATTCTTCGGAGCTTGGTAACATAACGTTTAAGACGTTACTGGCTTTTCCTGCAATTTCAGCTGAGATTCCAATTCCTCAGCTATACCCAAAAGCAGAGTTTCTGTTCTCGTTTTTCTTAATTTTCACATATATAAAATTCGTAAACTAAAGACCGCAATTAGATATACTGTTCTCATTTTTCTTAATTTTCACATATATAAAATTCGCAAACTAAAGACCGCAATTAGATATAATAATTCACAACAAAGAATTAATGAAATTTGAAACAGCAAATATCTACCTTCAATAAAATAACCTGAACACCCATCCATCTGTTTTCTCCGATATAAAAGTAATCATTTTGCAGTAGTACCAGTTCCTACTGCAAAATTTATAGAAATAGTTAGCTGAAAGTCGATATGTACAAATTCAAGCACATCAACTAGCTTTTCTGGGCATATAAACTATCCTGTAATCTCTATCGAGCAGTACTAACACCTTCTTTGAAAAGGATATTTGCCACAGATGGAGGAAGCCAACCAGGGTTACCAGTTGCCTGGCCATCCATATGTTGGGTGTGTATCACATTGGTTGGTTGCTTCTTCATCTTTGATCCTCCCCTCACTTTTCTTCCAACAAAAATTCCCATCTTCATGGCAGTAAACAGACCCAACGCAATCAGAAGTGGTCTCACAACCCAGTGATGATCCTCAAGATGTTGATATTTTTTTACCATCCCTGGACAGGTACTGAAAGTTACCGCTTCTACTTCAGCTGGGTCAGCCAAAAAGCTGCTGCAATCCTCTCCAAAAGTCAGCCTTCCTGGAAACTTGACAACGAGGCATCCATTTGGCAGGACCCAGCAAATCCTCCCAGTAGCCCATGCCCCTCCCGCTTTCCGAGGCCATTCAAATCGAGGGCTAAGAACATTATCTTTCAGCCTCACAAATTTACCAATACTGTAAGATTCCGCCATCTGCAGCTCCGAAGATTTTCCCTTCCGAAGAGTCTCCAACCCTATAAATCCAACAGCCACATTTCCATCACGGTGGATAGAATGAAGAATTCCCACCGGTGAGTGCCTCTTATCTTCCTCCTTCATGCGAACCCAATCCCCAGCTGCCAATCCAAATGTGACCCGCTCCAGAGATGAAACATGAACTCTCAAAGGGTCATGGATCCCGTGGACCCTCACCAAAACAAAACCATCCCTTTCTGTGCTGTGTTCTAGACCCACCACAGTTCCTTCTGGAACATCCATATTGTCAGGTTTGCAGGAGTTAGCTGGCTTTCTGGAACGCACCATGTCACCAACTTGCAAATCATCCTTTGAAAGAAACCACTCTGTATAACCACTACTTGATTTTTCTGCCGGTATTATGCTCTCAAGATCTGTCCAGCCTCCACTATGAACTGCATTCTGCAAGCTGCAAATTTATGAAATTGATTACAGAAAGATACCTGCAATGACTGACAGAACCTTTATACTGCTGATCAATATATTGAGGAAGAATAAAAAGCTGCAAGTATAAAATACTAGGGAAAAAAAAAAGCATCAAGTGCAAGGTAAGTAGCAAACCCACAAAAAGAAAGAAATGACCAGTCCAGACCAACTTTTTACGATGTACTTCCCTCATACTACAATAGATGTATGTCAATAAGAGCAACCTTGTCACTAGATTTTGAGTCACCTTTTACTTTTTTTTTTTTTTTTGACATAGCCAAATGCAAGAGTCTCATAGAACAGCAAATGGCAAGAGTTCTATCTGTGCAACATAAATATTAGATGAAGAATGCAAAGCAAGGACGGTGTAGGGCACTAATATAAACAAGGCAATGCAAAAAGGATTAATATAATATAGTAGGAAAATGCAAAAAAGATTAATATGACACACTAGGAAACTAACATTGTCATACACTAGCACATAATATATGGCCTTGCTCTGTTAAGTTGTTAGTACTTAATAACTAATTAAATATTTCATATTTTCTTAAAATATATTACAATATATGGGAATTATTCCAACCAATTTAATGGGGAATTCAGATCTGTCTTATGTGCACATCTACATAGTCTAACTATATATTATTGATAATTAAGTACTATACCAAGTGCAATAGTACAGTACATGAGTTCTTGAACAATTAAAATAATTCATTCCCCAGGTATTATAATTGTATTATGATTCAGGCTATGTCATAGCACTAAAACATAAGCTGTCTCCTCTTTACTTTAAGTCAAATGTACAAACTCATAGTATAGTGCCCAATGAACATACAGAATGCAACAGAAAGCTCCTGCCTCTTGATGAAGAGACCTACCTTTTGAACACCCTTAATATGTCTGTCATTAGAGGGCGACTCCTGAAGTCATACTCAAAGCAACCAAGAAGAACATTCACAATAGGAGGAGGAAGCCCACTAGGAATACATGGTTTTTCTTGCTTTCTGACAACTGCATCATAAATTTCATCAACAGACTTTCCACACCAAGGCTGAACACCAGTCAACATCTCCACAATGCTGCATGCAAACCCCCATGAATCGGTCTCAAAGGATATTGGACCTCTGACTTCTGGTTGCCACTGTTCTGGAGCCATATAGTTTGGTGTTCCAATCCTGCGAGCCAGATCAGAGCTTGGCAATGGAATTCCAAGCAATATATATGGAATTCCTACATCTCCTACAACTGCTTGGTTATATTCATTGAGAAGAAAGTTGAAAGGTTTAAGGTTAAGAATTAGGATCTTTTTTGAGTGCAGTTCCAAAATTCCCTGAGCCAAATTGATTATGTACCTGTAAAAATTAGCGCACACTGAGAATTGCCAGCTCTCTACGGCATTATGTATCAAAAAATTAAAAAAAAAAAAAAAATTGTTAAAAAGAATTTCTTCTTCACCTGAAAGCATTAGACAGTGAGAGCTTCCCTCCTTTAAGGCGAGCCATCTTATCACCAACTGATCCTTCATAAAATTTCATAACTAAACATATCTGCCAGACATAAAAAAATATTTATTAGCAAAAAAGGTCAGATATGAAACAAAAATACCCAGAAATACAAGGAGTACTTCACCTACTTTTCCATTCATAGCTGAAATTCCCTGCAGGCAACAAACACCTTCTACTCCTTGACACTTAGAGAATAAATCATCCAACTTATCCAACAGAACTCTCATGTGATCGCCTTTGACTGGAGGCAACATCTTGACAGCCACTTCATGATATTCATCATAGTCGTCCGTTGATTGATGAAGGGTAGCCAACCATGTTTCACCAAAGGGGCCCCTCCCAATTCTGTGTCTGAGTTTCAATGTTGCAGGGTCAATCCACATAGTTGTCTGCTTTGATGTGGCAACCACAGTTTGAAGGCGATTGTCACTCTCAAAAATTTCATACTCAAAAGAAGCAGGTGAAGCAGCAGCGACTTTTCCAGCCATTCCTTCTTTAGAATCAGAAAATAAAAACCAGATTAGATCATTTATCCAAACAAATTCTGACGGCTCTGTGTCAATTGCAAAACAATTAGACATGCCAAAATTTTAAAAATTCCCAATTAAAACATTCCAATGATCAATGGTCAGCAAGATTAGAGGAATAACACACCAAAAGGCGCACTAAATCTCTGTCCTTCACCTTAAGAAGCATATATTGGCCAGGGCAAAAACTTAAGAGTACTCCAAGGCAAATTAATTCGTACATATAAACAAAATCAATAATATATTGACCTCCAATATACGGCCTCCAAAAACATGAAAAACCTTCAGAATAACTAGGATTTTAAAATTAAAAACTCAGACGCGACATTATTCCACTAATGAAAACAAAAACAAATTTGATTTTTCATAATATAATGCAAAAATCTACGTTCATAATGTCAGCCTAATTTCTCAAATTAATCTAACTTCACTAGTCATTTTCGAATCACAAGAAGCAAGAGCCAAATCTTATGTGATTAAAGGCATCTCCAGTCCCCAACTAAAATCAATGAACGTAATCAAATGTTTGCATTAGTATACATGTATTCGCGTATTAATTCAAGTATGAGTAAAATTACAAGGCAAAATCATGAAGCAGCAACGCGCATAAAAGAAATAAAGAATATACATCTCAGCAACCAGGAAAAAAAAATACCTACTGAAAGCGAGAGTAAATCAGAGTAATTGGAGAAGGAAATAAACTAAAAAGTAGAGACGGTGAAGGTCAAAGTGCCATAAATTTGATCAGATACCATTACTTATACAAATTAAAGGAAGAGAAAATGGGAATGAGAAGCGGAGAGTGAGTGAGAAGAGAGACATTTTATAACTACAGGGAGAGATTCTAGTATATTTGTATTGTAGAGCACGCTAAAGATACAGCACTGTTTGGCAGGTATCTGTGAAAGTAACTTCCACTTTTCTAATCAAGTTGCCTTAATTAAGTAGAGATAATATTGATTTAAGATAAGGCTTGAATTAATGTTCCTTAATCTAGCATCGTATATATAATTATCATTATCAATCAATAATATGGATTGGCAAGTTGTTAAGGTTTGAATGGTTAAAGCAACATAACACATGGGCCGTTACAAAATTTAAGGAGAATACTTTTGGTTTATTAAGAAATAATCGTTTTAATTATCAGTAAAGTAAAAGCCCATAGGTAAATACATTATCAAGGGACTGCTCTTGAGGGCCAAGTTTTGCTGCAAAAGAAGCCTGTTTAGCGTGGCCATACTACTGACTCTTTGTTATATGGGATTTTGTACCCACCCACCGAACCATATGTCGTCAAATGTCAAAAATGTCCTTTGTGGTATGACCGAGTGATATCAAGAGGGCCAAGTTTGAATGATGCTTGCGAGCACCAAATGCCCAATCCCCGACTCTTATTGTTGAGAGTAGCGCAAAAACAGTGTAAAGAAAATGGAAACTGCAGAAAGCTGAAAATAGAATGATGAAGTTGTATTTCTTCTTCATATTTTGTATACAGTGCATCAAATATTATAGATAAAACAGATAAAAGAATAACAATAGATGGCAAAAATATAACAATAAAGATAATAACAGCTGGCAAATATATAACAAATTGGACTCAACAAACGCAACAGAATGGCCTCATGTCTTCACGTGACTGCTGTTTTTTCAGGTGGAACCGTGGCTATTGTAGGTCCAATGCATCTTCTAATCTAACATCCCCCGCAAGATGGAGAGTATATATTCAGTACTCCCATCTTGGACAATAGTCGCGTAAGTGTCGGAGCATGCAAAGGCTTGGTAAAGAGATCAACCAACTGCTCAGAAGAAGAAACGGGGCTGGCAACATTCCCAGCCAGGAGTTGTCACGAACAAGATGGCAGTCCAGCTCGATGTGGCTTGTGCGCTATGGAACACGGGGTTGGCAGCGATATGTATCGGCTAAGTTGTCACAATATAAGGTGGCTGGATCAGAAATGGTAACACAAAAGTCTTTGAGAAAAAACTGAAGCCATGTGATTTCACACACGACAGCTGCCAAGGCCTTATTCCGATCGGCTGAGGATCGTGAAACATGTTTCTGTTTTTTTGATTTTCAGGCAACAAGAGACTTGCCAATAAACACACAAAAACCAGTCGTAGGTCGTGAAACACCTCACCTTGGTCTTTCTGGAGTTTGATATTCGGTTCCATTGGCAGAGGGAAAGTTTGGGCAGCAAGTAAACCAGTCTAAGAAAGTATATCCAGGGTGTACTTGCGCTGACAAATTGTATTCCATCCTTTGAGCGAGCTATTTCCATGCCAAGAAAATATTTGAGTGAGCCCAGGTTCTTGATTGAATTTGGTGGACAAAAATTTCTTGACCTCATCAGTGGAAGTCTGATCTGAAATCATGACAATAATGTCATCTATGTAGACTAATAGAGCTGTGAAAGAAGAAACTGTGTGTTGATGAACAAACTATAGTCTGACTTAGACTGCACAAAGCCAAACTCGGCCAGCGAAGATGAAAGTTTGTGTGTTCCACTGTCGTGATGCCTGTCGAAGACCATAAATGCTTTTTCTCAATTTACAAACTTGATTCCTTTTGAGGAAGCTAGACCGAGAGGAAGCCGCATTATAATTCTCATCAAGGTCTCTGTATAGAAATGCGTTATTAATGTCCAACAGCTGCAAATCCCATCCTTTTATGGCGCTACAAAAACAAAGTGCGAATGGAAATCATTTTGCAACAGGAGAAAAAGTGTCGTGAAAATCTATTCCTTCACGTTGAGTGAAGCCTTCGCCACCAAGCGTGCTTAGACGTTCAACAGATCCGTAGCTTGAATTTGTAGCGAAAAATCATTTGCAATCAATCGGTTTCTGCCAAGAGGTAAGTCACGATGGACCATGGTTCATTAGTCTTTAAAGCAGTGAGTTCCTGCTCCATCGCTCCACGCCGATAGGGTCTTTAAGAGCTTGAATGTGACTTGGGTTCGTTATGGATGGAGATGGAAGTGGTTAATGCTCTAAATGATGGAGATAAAAACTTGTAAGATATGACATATGATAAGGGATGTGGATTATGCAAACCTGTGCAAGACAGAGATCTAGTGGCTTCCAACTTGGAGTTCGAGTCAACGGAGACAATGCATTGCAGTGAAAATCCTTGAGATATGTTGGGGCGGTTCGAATCTTGTTGACGATGTGGTTGGCAAGGGAACGTTGTTGGTGAGGTGGGAGTGTGACTGTTGTCGATGGAGGTAGGGGAAGGGACATGATCGTCCTGGTGAGGGACTTCACTAAAATCTGTGTGTACAGGAGGTGTTTGATTGAGGTGGTCAGTGGGGAAAGGAGACAAATGGGTTGTGTTTGTTTGAGAGGAAAGATGGTTCGGGGAATACCACATCACGGGAAAGGAAAATCTATTGGTGGTAGTGTCAAGGAGCTTGTATCCTTTGACTCCTATGGGTAGCCAATGAATAAGCATTTTCTAGCTCGGGGTTCAAATTTGGAGCAGCCATGCAAAACAGAGGCAACCGAATGTTTTGAGATGGGAATATGGGGTTTTGGTTGTAGAGTTTTTCAAAAGGTGATTTTGTAGTGCGATCAGGAGAGGGTGTTCGGTTGATCAAATAAATGGCAGTGATAACAAATTTGTCCAATATCGCATAGGAAGTCCTGATTGAAATTTTAAGGCTCTAGCGACGTCAATATATGCTGATTTTTTCGCTTAGGAGAGCGTTTTGTTGTGGAGTGGCAACACAGGTCAGTTGATGAATTGTGCTTTGGAATTGTAAAATTTGGGCATATGAAATTCGGATCATTATCAGTTCTGATTATTTTGATTTGGGTGTTGAATTGTGTGGATATAAGGGAAAAGAAATTTTGAATTGAAGTTCGGGCTTCTGATTTGTTTTGCAACAAATAGATCCAAGTGCATCTGGTAAACTGATCGACGATTGGAAGAAAATAACGGGTGCCATTGTAGGCTTGTGTGGAATTTGGTCCCCAAATATCTACTAAAATTAAATCAAAAGGCTTGGTAACCGTGGTGATAGACTGAGGAAATGGAAGTTTATGTTGCTTGGCAAGTGGACAAATTTCACAAGAGAATTGAGATAAACTTGTAGGCCTTGAATTTGATTTTTGAATTTCATTTAATACATGTTGTGTCATGGAACTATGCCCCAGTCTGTAATGCCATAAACTGTAATCGTCAAACGTTGAAGTACTGGTGGTGTTAACATAGCTTGAACAGAATTTAGAAAGAAACATTTGTAAAGCGTTGGGAGCTGGTGTCGAAGGTTGAAGATGGTAAAGGCAATTATGCATTGTCCCCATGCCAGTCGTCTTCCAAGATGAAAGGTCCTGTATGTAGCAAGAGCTGGAAAAAAATATGAGACAATAATTTGAATGTGTAGTTAAAGATTTAGCTGAGAGCAAATTAAAGAAGAAGGTTGACATGCATAACACATGCTTGAGAACGATATGATCAGAGAGATGAATATCACCCACATGTGTGGCCAATGTGGTGGTGCCATTTGGAAGTTTAATGGTGTCGGAAACAAAAGACAAGTTATGCGTGAAAAGATGGGGGCTACAGATCATGTGATATGTAGCTCCAATATCAATTATCCAAGAGGAAAATGATTTTGTGAAAGTGTGTGATGTGTGTGTGAAATGGCAGGAATGAATACCAGAGACAGGTGAAATTTCGGTGGTTGAGGAATTGAAACATGCATGGTTTGCTGCAGAGGTAACTGCTGGAGACTGAGAGGATTGGAGCAAGGCGATGAGCTGGTTGTAATATCCCACTTGAGGTACGTATTCAATTGAGTTTGTATGTTGAGTTGGTTGAATGGTTGCCTTGAATTGGTTGAATTTTGGTGAAATTTGGAAAATCCAATCTTCGCCGGGGCGAAGGAGAAGCTTCGCAGCGACGAGGGGGGAGCTGCACCCCCGGGTAGATTCTGCCCTGTTTTGCCGGGGCGATGGAAAGTTCTTCGCCGCGGCGACGAGCCTAATACAAAGTTTCTTGAGTTTTCTAGAGAATTCTTCTTTTGGGGCACAATGACCATTCTACCCCTAATTAGTAGGAAAAGTGGGGAGTAAAATGAAAGGAAATTTAGTAGAGATTGTGTTTGGATGGGGGTGTATTTGAAAAGAATCAAAGGATATAGATGGAATTTTCAAGGAAGGGCAAGGGCAAAATGGGAAATGAAGCTTATAATATGAACTAAAAAGAGTAAAGTGTAGAGAAAGCCCTTACTCATCTTCATTCCACCGCCTCTTCCATTGCCCATATTCTCTCAATTTCTCCACCCAATTTTCCAAGAGTTCTAAGGGATTTAAGAGGGGTTTTGAGTAGAGATTTCATCTAAGGCATCCTAAGGTAAGAATTCATGCTTTAGATGTGAGTTTTCTTGTATTTATAGTGAGGTCTTATTGTGTTGTTGCTGTCCTTGTGGTTGTTTTGAGTTGTAGAGAAGAGACAAGTCCACAAAGGGAAGGAAAAGTGCTAAGGAACCCATCTTTGCACAAGGTAAGTAAATCCAACCAAGTTGAGTTATGACTAAGCTTTGAGTAGAGACTTATTTTAATTATGTATGTACATGGTATACCTACTGAAAATTGAGATGAGATGTGTGCTTAGTCTTAGTAGTTGGGATTGATTAAATATGAGAAGTGTTGTTGATATGTGTATTGAGAATGGAGTTTGAGATGAAGTTTGAGAGATGTTGTGTAATCCTTTTTGGGAGTGCTTTTCTTGACAGGGATTATGAGTAATTGAGGGAGTTTTTCCCCAATTTGGATGGCTAGAAAAATGAAGTTTAGTAGTAATTTTCGTAGGG